ACATGAAATATCATTGATTTGTTTGCTTTCTGTAAATTTATTGTTTAACAGATGTGAAATTATCGAAACATTAATGATTTTTTTCTAATACCCCCTTCCCCCCCCCTCTCAAACCATACATTGCCTAACCATAGTTAGCACAAATTTTTGGGCTTATTTTTCTTAATACCTTTTTGCTTCATATTTGATCTGGCCTTCAAACTGTTTTTATTGGAGCCCAAAGTTAAGAATCTTATGTAGCCGAAACGCGCATTTGGCGTACCAAATTATAATCTTTAAAGAGTTTTAATGTCAACAGCAGATACAATGCATGAATTTCGTACAGTCTGAATTGAAAAGAAATAAAAATTACAAAAGAATTAACTGTCAAATTTTTAAAACTGATCCTGTCAAATTTAAATTAAGTCACTGTTAAATAGACATTATATTGCAAAAATGTGCATCTCTCTTGAACAAGCCATTTGCTCCTTTAGCTAATAAATCATGGAAGAAAAATTTTATATATTTACATCTCCCTACAAACCAAAGATCAAATTAATTATACTGGCGTTATGGCTCACTATGTTATTCATATTGACTTGGAATGACGTTTGCAGATTCTGTAGAAAAATATTGAAATTTAGATAAATTACTCGTGACCTATAGAAGAATCAAATTGCACCATAAATTTAAACCCTAAAATTTACCTAATGTTTATAATAACTTTTTAATTTATAATAGAAATGTTATAAAAACTAAATTAATCGCTCTAGCAGCAGATTAGTACTGAAATATGTATCTTTTGATAAATAATTAATACCGTAGTGTTCGTGTCGTATATTTACAGCATAGTTCAATTGTCTTTTGATATCAATGTCACAAGATATTGAATGATTAATTGTAATTGCCATTTTGTCTTATTTTAATCATATGCTTTAAACAAAACTGTTTATATTTAGCGCAACATGATACAGCATATTGATTCTCATTTATAAAGCAGTAACACATTTAGGTTTTTTTTATTTTGTTTTGTCGATTTCATAGTTGTAACTTCAAAAAAGAATGTCGGGATAATAGTGATGTATACTCTAAATCAACAAAACGTGCAAACAAGCAAAAAAGCAAAAAAGCAAACAAAAATAAACCAAAAACATTAAAACTAAACACAATACAACACAAAACCAAACAATACAATTCGAAAACAAATACAACAGTAAAAAAAACCCACAGCGACAAAGCAAACAAGAGATAAAAAGAACTGCATTTTCGAATTATCCTACGGCTTTATCGTTTTCCTCAACTGTAACGTTTCCATGGATTAACAATACTATGTTCGTTTGAAATTGAGAGACATTTCTTTAACATGTTCTTCTATGGTGATTGCTTTTGAAATTTTGTAGGTTTGTTAAAAATCAAAATGTATGAGCGACATCAGACAAATTTGTCGGACATGAGTTATTTTGCTAACTATCGGAATTTACTGACCCAATATTTATCGTTTCAGTTCAATAGCACACTGTGTAACGAATTCATCTTACCAGCATTCTTAATATGTGGCATGTAGACTAGTGGCATATCAAAGTGATCAAGTCTAACATTAAGAACCTACTTCCATTGATCTATACAAAACAAATGCCAACAGTAACCGCTTGTTAGCTTTAATGTGTTTTCTGCATTCATTTTCAGTCGTTCATCATCGATTTCTTCATCTGTTGCTTGGGCGAAACGTTTAGGATTTTACTTCAACGGCATGTTGTTTTTACAAAGGGACGTAACACTGCTTCTAACCCAATATTAAAATTAAACACGCCCACTAACCCCATATTAAATATATAGGGTCTCCATACGGTCGCTTTTAACCAATCATATTCCTACAAATGTATAGGAGGCAAGATAAACTACGTTTCGACTTAAGTGAATATGACTAAGTGACTAAGCCTTTCTTCCCGAGTAGTTATCTAACTTATGTACCAAATAGAAATAACTTGCAGTTATTTCTTCAATTAAATTTGATTTAGTTAAAATAAGTTAAAATTTATTGTTTTGTTTGATAAAAAGTGCTTGATATAATTTAATTTTTTCAATACAATGCTTCTTAACCCTTGCTTGTTATAAAAATTGTAACATGCATACTTGTTTTAGCTATCGTTATTCCTTTTATATAAATGGAACTTTTATGATTAGTTTTAATTTTGTTTGTGAAATTCCGTTCATTCGAAGCACTTGTCTTGATCAGGAACGCTCAACCCAAAACAATTAAAAGCCAATTATTCTTAAATTTCTGAATCCGTAAGGAGTTATATAACCAAAACCGATCTCAAAGAAATCCAAATTCACTCTAAGTCAACTTTGGGGGTAAAGATAAGCGGTTAAGACGTTTATTAGGAAATATTAGTAATGTAAGGGTTATAAAATGTAGTTGAATAGCAAGTGATTCTCATCATTTTGACAAAAACCGAAAATACCCGGGCCAAAGTTAAAAATATTTTTACACAGAAAACATACGAATACATGCTACCAATATACTTGTAATAGTTTTAACAATTTGTGTTTGTTTATTTTACTTCTTTAAATGATAACTGATGTGATACAATTAGGGAATACCAGGGGTAAACTGTCTTGCTATGCATGTCTCAGTGACGTATAGCCAACGCATCATGTTCATGATATTACATACCTTAAATAATTAATATTTTGATTAATCCTTATATTATGTTTTACAAAATGTTTCATGTTCTTTTTATTTAGACTCGAATATCAATTTTTAAATACCTTGTTCATTATTCAAATTATTTTCAGTGACTTATTGAACATTCAGTTTCGACAACTTCCTTTTTTAGACATTTGCATATAAGGTTTGATATAACACAATTGGTTCTTGCGTCACTGGAAAGTCCTATATAGACGAAACACGCGTCTGACGTTACAAATTTAAATTCTGGTATCTTTGGTGAGTTTTTGTTATATTAACAAAATATAATTATTTCAAATGATATCCATACGAGAAGAATATGATTAGATAAATGTCACAAAAAAAGAAATTGTAATGTATGTAATACAAATATATGTATCATTAAATTTATATTGGTCAGAATTTTCCAATTGTAGTAAAAATGTACTTCTAACAATGGAATTACAATATTCCACTAAAAAAACAACTTGAATAAAGAGGGTTGACCAAAATAAAAGCTGTTTCAATTATTTATTCATATCATATATTATTAGTTACAGGATGTGTTAGTGACCTAATACGATATATATGGGGTCAATAAATTCCATATGGGGTGAGAGCGAAACTCTAATCCCCATATAGAATTTACTGACCCCATATATATCGTATTAGGTCACTAGCACACCGTGTAACGAATTTATCTTACCGACTGTCTTCACATGTGGTATTTAGACTAGCGGCCTATCAAATTAATTAAGTCTTCAATACTTAGTATTAAGAACCTACTTCCATTTGTCTATACAAAATACAAATGCCAACAATAACAACTTGTTAGCTTTAAATTTGTTTTATTAATTTATATCAATCGTTCATTATCAATTTCTTCGTCTGTTGAAACCTTTCAGATTTCTTTTTTGTTTTGAAAGGTAAGTAACTCCCATATGGTAACTAACCCCATATTTTTTAAGACACACTATATAAAATATATGTAGTCACCACGTGTAGTCCTTTAACCAATCATATCCCCAGAAATCTCTAGGAGGTAAGATATATATATATATATATATATTGGCTTTAGACGAAAAGCAAACCACAATCAAACAATCATATTATAAAAACACTAAGCCTATTTGCAGTATGTTTTAATGAGGGAAAATCCCATAGAGTCGTGTTTTTTTTTTTTCAAATAAAAAAAAAAATACCAATCAGGCAAGTGACCATACATGTATATATTAAATATTCAGTTGATATTTAAAGACACTAATTATATATAACCATAAAGTGTCTTTATCCTGCAAGTTACATGGTTAATAGTGTTGCTATAACATATTGGTACACTCATTCTGATTGCAATTGTTTTCGTTTTGAAAATTTTTAATTTTTGTTAAGTATCCACATGAAACCCACGCGCGTTGCGTAATGTTTTCTTATTTATAGATAAAACTACACAAACAACTTATGAACGGTAAGCAGGAAAGAACTACTCGCTACAAGTAGATTATTTTGAATTGTAACGTTATGAATATTTTTGATAGTAACTAACAGTAATAAAACATTGCCAACTTTGTGTTGAGATAATTTTGTTCAGCGCTTCAGTTCTAAAATGGTACTGTCAGCATTGAAGTTTGAGAATGACTTGGTTTGGGTGGCGCTTATAGCAATAAACGTTTAGTGTACAATTATAGCAGAGCGATATGTGTGGGGTTGTTAATTTATCAATAATACTTCCGACTGCAGGATAAATAAAGTGGTATGCTCTTAATTATTCCTATTTTGTATCAAGTCTGTAACTACTTCGTTTCAAAAATATTTAATGTTTGTTTAGTTTCCCCATGACACCAACACGTTTGACGTAATATTTAGAAAGTGAAATTGACGCAATCAGCTTATGATCGGTACGCAGCAAAGAATCACTCGTGCTCGCGTAAAAACACGTCGCTTTCAGAAAATAATTATCAATTATTATATATTAATTAATTCTAATGGTAAATACCAATAATAAATCATTGCCTAACATTGTGTGGGAATGTTTTTTTTACCGCTTAAGTACTGTCGGCATCGAAATTTAAGAACGAATTGGTGTGGGCGTAGCTAAAAGCGATACGATTAACATTATTACGTATAGAATACAATTATACCAGAGCGATATGTGTCTGGTTGTAAATGTATAATACGACACCAAACTTGAGGATTAAATTACAAGTAGTTTGATCTAAACTATTGATATTGGTTTATCTATTCTGTTATTAACGGAAAACTTCATGGTGTCTCATGTTAGGTACGTTGACTGACGTCACAAACAACGAATAAAACGACGACACAGAAGTAATCTGCTACAGTGCAATGAAACCAGTGTAGTCGAAACGACCTTATCAAGTCAACAGAATACATGTTTTAAAAAGCTGTTCAAATTCGGCGAAAAAAATAAAAAGGTTAAAATAATCACATTGAATTACTACAATGTTTGTAAATTTCTTTCAAATTTTCATTTCAATATTGATTTTACGAACTATTGAGGGAATTCGACAAAACATAACCGGTGGTTCGTTCATTAAAAATAAATATAGTTACTCCCCTGTTATATTGGCTTTTGACAACGTTGGTCCACTGATGTGCATAAAAAACTGTTTGCTGCACAAAGGGTGCAAAGCGGTGAATTTTAACGGAAGTCAATTTGAATGCGAATTGCTGAATGTTACCTTTCCTTATGACATGTTAACTGATATTAAAGGCTCATTTTATACGGAAATAGATGGTTGGACGAAGGTAAGTTATAAAGTAATGTTAGTTTCAAATTTTTTTTTTCGGTATTTGTAACTGCATTGTGTTTACTGGATTTAAAGCTACGGCGATTGTGTTTAGTGATGATCAAGTTCATAATCATAAATTGATCGATGAGCGTATACTAGCAAGACTAAAGTGGTTTAGCATAACTGACAAATTTTTGTGTATACTGTTTGTTCTTTGGATTTTATATGTATCTCTTTTTTTAGGGGGAGGGAGTATAATTTGTATATGTTACCTTTATATTTTATTCAAAACACTGAACGCACCCTCTAATTTTTCAAGTATATAAGTATGCACCCAGAATGTCATTTAGTATAAGAAAGGAAAAAATACAGCGGAAAAACTTTCTACGAATGACATTTGTGCAGTTACTCTGACTTACTTCTTAGATTTAATGTTGAATAAAATATATCCCTATGTGTTGTTCTAAAACAAAAGTATGATACGGCCACCCTTTTGTCATTTATGGATACATAATTTATATATAAATATATACATATACAATTCTAAAATCCAATAGTATTCTTTAAATGTGCAAATATTCTACTATAAGATATCAATTTCAGTAATTTAGAATGTTGCCTTACTTATTTTCATTTTATGCCCTCAATCTTCTTGAATTTCGGTAAAAAATCCAACAATCTTCGAAAAGGTATAACAAAACAATTGAACACCAAGGCAAATTCAAAAAGGGGGATGGTCAATAAAAACAGACAAAATCAAGCGCTATCAATCAACGGAACAAGTGAAAATAGCCTCGTTGTTTTGATATATATCGTCACAAATATTTAGTTCTCAGCAATAAAGTTCACCCCTAAATATCAAAATGTTTTTTAATTTGATTTAGTAATTGATTTGGCAGTTTCTTAACGCGTATGAAATATTGAAGTAACATTTTGAAATTAAGGTAGATCTGATCCATCTCTTCTGGTCATGTCTCAAAAACACTTTTTTATGTTAAATATTATTTTACCAATTATCATTCAATACTAGTATACAACAGAAACATCTTAAGGTTGAAATTTAAAGATTAAACTATCACAAAATTAAGTGTCATTAAGTACATCTAACGTTTTCAGAAGAATCATTTTTAAAATCAAAGGCAGATAATTATATTGATCTTGGAAGGATAATTTCTTTTCTTTTTTTTTTTTTTTTCTTTTTTTCTCAACAAAATAACGCCCGTGGCCCTTTATTCTAATTTACATTTCGGAAGTATTTATGAAAAGCAATTCTCTAGTGGAATTTTTACCAATTCTATCGCTTAATGTTTCCGCAATACGGAAAATTTAGGTGTTCCATATATACAAAATAACTGGGATTTCGTTAATTTCAATGTATTTTAACGAAAAAAACATACCGTGACCCCCATTTTTTATATTGAAAATCGGAAGTACATTGACCAAGGAGTCATTTTCAGAAGTTTAAGAAAAATGTATCGTCACATATTAAGACACTCAGCTATCTTAATTCTTGTAAATCCGTTAAATACATTAAAAAAACAGCTACCATTCTTGTTTCGACATGTTCAACAAACGCAAACAACAACAAAAATTAACATAATACAATACCAATAACACGTTTGTTCTTTTTTTTCAATGCAAGCAATATTCTTATCATTTTAAGGATAAAGACGGATGCACTCCAAACCCATGTGAAGTTGGACAACGATGTGTCCCTGCAATGTACAATAACTATATTTGCTTGAAAATTGGTAAGTTACATTCATTTGATTGGATATAGGGACGAAAAGGTTGTGAAGAAAAAGTAAGTTCAACTAATTTTCAATCGATAACGATTCATGTGACAGAGCATGTTTCCCTACTGACCGGGGTTCAAATGACAGTCAAGTCGAAAGAGTAGTCAATAAAGCACGTATTTTACAGATCTTTTTTCATTTAGTGACCCTTTCATGCTATTTGTTTTTTGTCCTTAATACAGATCTTTTTTACGTATGGACTATGTTAGATCTCAGTATATCATTGATCAAAATTCAATCATGACTTCAAATTTTCTTTTTTTCCTGTGAATTTACACGATGGTGCATACTCGATCGGTCAAGGGAGACGAAATCGTACTAAATATTTGACTTTAATTTTCAAAGGAGACAGGATGTAATTATTTTAATGCTGTACTGCTAGAGCGAATATTGATAATTATTTTTGTTTGTTTGTTGCGAAATTTAAAGCGAACGCTGAAGAGTCAATTTTTTTTCTTCTTCATATTTTAGATTTACCTTGCGATGTTAACCTATGTCAACATAAGTATGGTGTATGCAGAAATAAAGTCAATGGTTATAGATGTATTTGTCAGGATGGTTACTATGGCGATTATTGTGAGCGTTAGTATTATTCTTTATGTTTCTTTAACTACATAGGTTGTCAATAAAAGAAACTCAAACATACACATGCACATATGAGATCAGTTGTAACCTTTAATCAGAACTATCAAAATAATATATCATAGAACTGTTATAAACTACTCTAGAACAGTACTAGCTTTGAACTGTTCTTCATTTGAACCGTAGCAACCTGTTCGAATATATAATTGTCAGAATCTTTTCGAATGTAGAACTGGTCCAATGTCAGGATATGTACTAGGATAGAACTCTTTAAGGATAGAAAAGTCAAAACCGGTTCAAGGGTTGAACTTCCTAAAGTTTTTAAGGGTAGAAGAGCTCCTTCGTGAGGCTGGTGTAGAACAGATCGTATGGCATTAGCTAGACATAGTTAAAGTCTTCGTTGGTATGAATAAGGGGAGATGAGGGATGATATCGTTATTAAAAAGTTAATTCAAAGGAACAAATCGATGTGTAAAATCGACTGACTCACACACAAACTGTTGCGTTTATAATTTTATTTAAACGCACTTGTAATCTTGTCTGAATAAAAACGTTCATCGACCCGTTTCAACTGTGTAGGAATCTATATTCATGAGTCTATCAACGGGTTTTTCAAGTTTGGTTGTCATGGCGTTCACCTATGCAGTGATATTCACTACTAGTATTTTCAAAATTGAAATTATACGTACAATCAACCGACCAAAAACTAATAATATCTCTCCAGAACAACAAGAAGGGAACGTATGTTCTTGAATTAAATACGAATGCCTATAAAAGTATTCAACTGTTATATCGGTATTATATTGATTTAGAGTATTGTGTATAATTGTTTTCAAACTTCAACGATTGACTTGGCAATACCAAAACTATCTACAGTAAATTTTGTTGATTTGTTATTATAGTAGTTATTCAACTTGAGGCTTTAAAAGATGTAGTATTTTTTTATTAAACTTTACCATTGCTTATGGCCCTGATCCATTTGTACATTTAGAATTAATTTACGATTTCAGGATACGGTCTGCTTTTTTTTTAATAATTTATGCTTTCCAGTCCATCTTTATGTCAGATATTATTCTTCATAATTCAACAATATTTGGTATAGCAATTAAAAAATAAATGCTCTCCAACCAAGCGTCAAAATAGTGCGTAGGGATATCTTAACAAACGAAAGAAAACCTTGAAGTAAACGGGAGTTCTCTGATTTTATCGTTTAAATGTAGTTATTAGACCTGCATGCTTGATTTGTGTAGTTTAATAAGCTTGTTAAAGCGTTACTCGTGAGCACAACATGCAACCTGTGATCCTTGAGCGAGAAGGTATTGTGTAAGAAGTTTCAGGTAAAGCTGAATTCATCCCTCCGAATGGTTTAAGAATGCTACCATTGTTGGGCTGGCCGATGTGGAATATCTGTGTCTTATATGACTACGGTTATGTCCCACTAGCAATAACCACAATCCCAACCTCTTTTCCTTGAGTTTCACGAAGGTTGTGGCATGTGGAGCAGTAACTGATTGTTTTTGTCGAGGCACATGCGATCTCAAAGTTTTGGAGGGTTCATTGTACCCATCATTTAGTTTTCTGTATGATATTTGTAATTGTTGTTTTTCCTTTCTTTGTTCTAATTTGTGGACGTGGTATTGTCTGTTATTATTGGACTGTGGTATTCCAATGTACCCATCGGTAGCAACTGTCAGTTCAGTTGATGTGGCGACGTGCTCTTCCTCAATTTTGTTTACAGAGAAAGATGTATGCAAGAAAATTATGGTTCTGATATGGTATGTGTAAGTGTGATAGGATAAATGAAATTCGCCTTTTTTCAGCGTATGGGAGCACACATTTTCAACGTTACAATAATTGAATATACTCGAAGAATTATTTAAATTATTTCCTCTGTTAGTCTATCTAATTTTACCTATTCAAAACAAACGACATCATTCTGTGACATTCATGCAGGACTGTCTGTTAAAAGAAAGCTCTAATAATTTGAGTTCGATCATAACGTAGACTAACATCAAGATACATTATTGAAGTATGCTAATATAGACTTGAACTGTATACCATAAAAAGGATAGACATTATAAATAAATTCTTCCTTTAGATTTTTCTGAAGATATTTTGAAGATCTTTAAGTGTGACGGAAGAATGATTATGTCTCCATTTCTTATGATTGAAACGTTTAGTTGGTGATCATTCATTGTTGTTCTTTTAGATATGAGATCCCTATGATATAAATAGATGATATGACCTTGGTTTTTTTTTTACTAGAGGTTTTTTTTGTGTAGATTTTATTGATTATAATTTACAATAAGGCCTTTTTGATACTTCATGCATCATTGGGAACTGTGAAATGAAGCAAATAGGTATCACTAGGAAACGTCCTGAATGGTAGAGAGCACACAGTTAACACGTTTCTAATATCTTATTCCTTTTTCCTATATTCATTTACATACTTTGTACGTCAATGAAATATATGTTAAACTGTTTGCAACCCATCACTTTTGTTCCTCTTATTGACTTGAAAATGGTTTTGCTAAAAATGGTAACAATGCTGGCTTCCGCCATTTTTTTTTTTTTTTTTTTTTTTTTTTTTTTTTAATTTTAAGCTTTGTATACGCTGACATGAGAACGAGATCGCTGTTGGTGTATATGCTAAAGTCGATAAAATGATATTTTGAATTACACAATTTACAATGTTACTGTGTATTTATTGGAATCCCTTTTGCATGTCTATACTACCAAAATAACGAGTATCAATGTGTTAGCCGGCATGACGTAAAAACGACTTATCAAATAATTCAACTTTATATATAACTTATATAGGACAAAGATGTTGTTTAAAACTTACACCATTCCAGGACCTTTTGTTTTCCACATAATTAATATTACCAATAATTAATAAGTTCCAGGTCGAACCCGATACCGATACCAATAGTATATGTCACATGTACTTTCCGGTTGTAGTTACCTCTCACTTTCTGTAAATCCCTCCTCTTTCAGGAGAACCTGGAATTTTCCCCGTAGTTGTTTTATATCTATGTTACACAATAGTACACTATTTAGAAAGTCTGTTTTCTTCCACCTCAATACCACTATTAATTTTGGTTAGTTAGTTAAAAAAATTAAATTAAGTTTATAGTAGGTTTATTGTAGTAAGAAAACAAGGACAGGTTCAAACAGAAAGATTTGTAAGCAGAGAAAACTGTGCACCTTAAAATCAGCATTTCTTTTTCAGATGACAATACGAATACTAAACATCCAGGCTAAAATAAGGCATATGTACTTTAATTCAGTCACGAACCCGCGATGTCGCGGGTATGTTCTAGTTAAAAATTAAACAAATAAATCAATTGATGAAGCGAATCTCGACACTGGCTTTACTATAGTATTCTTAACTGGTTGTTTCTGTAATGTCCATGTTATATATTTGAGGTTGACTGTATTTGTCCTTGAAACTCGAAGGGCGGAGCGCCAACACAACTGACCCAGCATATATCACAAAACCAATAAAGAAATAGTTAGTTCATAACACTTTTATTAAATGATTCGAATTATTCAAGTAAACAAAGAAACTTATCGCGAAGAAGATACAGGAATCCATATTTGAACTTGTCTTTTTGCAGCCACATTGCGTTTTTGTCAACATTGATAACATTTCTGAGTTCTTGTTCAAGTAATTAAGCTATGCTAATTTTAACTAGCAAATATAAAGCAGCTGGGAAGAATAAATCCTTCATTTTATCAATTCTTGCTCTTTGATCGTCAGCGTTCTGATGATTGATCAACGGAAATAAAACAGTGATAATAAATTTTACTCAGAAAGGCTGTGGAATATGTCCGTTCTAAATTGTAACAAAACACGGAACATCGTTTAACCTTTTCATTTTACTTTAAGCTAAGAAATATAATTAATATGAATCTTATGCATAATACTACCTCTAAAGAGGTGAGACGTAAAACATTCAAAAACAAACCTTTCGAAGCTACCTTAACATGCTTAATCCTTAAAATGTAAATACGTTAAAAAAAAAGAACCATTCTTGTTTCAACAAACAACAACAAAAAATAAATGATACCAAAACAAAAACACGCTTATACATTTGTTTTAACGGAAGCAATATTCTAATCACTCTAAGGATTAAGTTAGATGCACTCCAAACCCATGTGAAGTTGGACAACGATGTGTCCCTGCAATGTACAATAACTATATCTGCTTGAAAATTGGTAAGTTACATTCATTTGATTGGATATGGACGCCAAGGTTTATTCCAGTACCCTTTTCAAGAGTATAATTTGGTGCCACTCAGTTAATCATATTCTAATGTAACCAAAGGAGATGCAAGATGATTGCCAGTGAGACAACCTTAAAATACCGGAGGGTAACGATCCCGGAATTAATTACGATGAAAAGAATGGCATCTCAATTGGTCATTCCTCACACGTTGTATGATTATATAAAACAATACCAACATATCACTTTCCACGCTTATATTCCCTCATGGAAACAAGTAAGTTAAGATCATTTTAAATAAAAAACAATGGACGTGACAAACAAAATAGTTCCCACTCCTTGACCGTTGTTCAAATGACACTAAAGTATTTGTAAGGCAGGTTACTATGGCGATCATTGTGAGCGTAAGTATTTCTATTAACTACATTTTTTTTTATTTATCTCAATAAAAGAAATAAATTTTATAGCCGACCATACGGTATGGGTTTTGCTCATTTGTTAAGGCCGTACGGTTGCCTATAATTGCTTACATCCACTTCATTTGAACTGTGGTGGATAGTTGTCTCATTGGCAATCATACCACATCTCCCTATTTTTATATAGTTCAATATTTTCAAAGAACGGGGGCACACTTTTTTTACATTACAATTATAATTCAAGAGACTCGGCGAGAACAGCTTTGTTTTAGAAACTAATCTTCTGGAAGATCTAAAGTGATAGTTTAACTGATTCAAACAGTATACATAGCATTAGTACGACAATATTAAAGTCTTCCTTTGTATGAACAAGAGGAGATAAGGAATTATATAGTTTAAATGAAAATTAATTTTTAGATAAGTATATGATATTGCCTCAATCACAAACTGATATAATTCTGTGTGGCATTTATAATTCCATTACAACGCATGTGTTTTCTTTCAATGATGAACAATTCCATCAACACTTTTCATATGTGTAGGAATTAGTGAGGTCTAGAAAAATGGTTTGTTCATGATTGTTTGTCATGGCGCTCACCCTTAAAAAAGATTCAACATTCAAAATTGAAATTAAATGTAAAAAAGCACAAAAAAACACAAAAAATAATAGACCAACCAGAAGTTGACATATAACCATAAATAACAAACGAGCGTGTATACTACGGATCAAGCACTGTATTGCCCTTAGTCTTGTTTCCTTATTAAAATTTAAATTCTTTGCTTCTTTTGAAATTAAAGTGAAATATGAATCAACTGTTGTGTCTGTGAAATACTTATTTACAGTATTATGGTTTAATGTGTTTTCTTTAACGAAACACAAAATCGTCTGAACTGAAGGAGTAATACCACACGTCACTGAAATATCTGAAAACCAAATGAAGAAGAATTTTGTGAAACATAGTTGCATAATTATATAAATCTAATAACAAAATATGTGAACTAACAATTCTATAGATAACATACGAACGAACGTATGTGAAGCCCATGTATGATGAAAGGGTCAATTCGGCTTTTCAGAATCTAATGCATTCTGGGTAATATTTTCAAAAGTGTACACCAAAACGTCGTGATTGGTTAAAAGCGTCCTTAACAATGGAAAGTCAGCCAATGATGCGACGTTATTTTTATTTTGAGGTACGAACAATTAAATTAACCACAATCCATTAGATTCTGAAACGGCCAATTGAAAATTAACACGTAGCTGGCGCACGTATTGTCTATTCTTCTCTCTTTCGGTCTAAGACAACAACTTGTGTTAAGTCTTTTATATTAGTTGTTTTAATGATAAAAATACTGCATATATTGTTGATTATGGCTTAAAGTCTAGTTTTGTTTTTATTATATTTCAGATACACCATGCACAGATGTTATCTGCAATTCTGGATCTAATTGTTATATTAATGGATCCGATGGAATATGTATGCAACAGTCTTGAGTTTCTTTTCAAAATAAAAAAATGCTGTAATTCATAAGGGATAGATCATTTACATGTGCCGAACGTTTATGAATATGGTAATGTTTTAGGGTTAGATGCGTCACTTTTACTTATTCTTAACTGTATCATGCCTTACCACTGAGTGTGACTCATCAACATATTCGTTACATTTGTTCCATGTGTTCAGCCACTAAACTAGCATTCACGTTGTAAGATTTCACCGAAACTAATTCACACATAATTTTAGCCTATTTCATGGTGACAGTCTCCTTCAAATACTTTTTTAGTAGGAGTTATTCTACATACATGATAATTAAGAGTTCTTTTTCTTGACTCAGTTGAAAGTAAAATTTACTTTAACGTGTAAATTGCATATTCTTATTATTTATTATATTTCTTTTTCACAGAGTACTTGTGTTAGTATAATGCCTGCACACGGTCCATACGTTTCGGTAGATGTGGGCTCGGTAGTCGAGTGGTCTAAGTTGTTCATCTACTGTATTCCTAATCTCTCAACATAGAGGTTGTTAGTTTAAACCCAGCAAGGAACGAGTGCGCTCGACTCCAATCTAAATTGACTAGGACTGTAAGTTTTTAAATGCCAATAGTCGGTGGTTCTCTTTGGGCACTCCGACTTCCTTCTAAAATAAAAAAACTGACCGCCAAGATATAGCCAATACTAGTAGTACTGAAAAAGACGTTATAATAATGACATTTTGTAAGACATGTAAGACTTGCTATAACAACAGACGTATTCCTGTATTATGTCAGCATAGCCCAAACAAATGCTTACCTTATTATAATATACGATTCCTTTTGGTAACTTTGATAGATCTAAGGTGTCACCATCTTCAGGCAAAACTGACCACGTTTTTATATCCCTTTAGTTGATCTCTTATGTTCATTTTCTAAGCCAACTCATCGAAATGAAAACGGAAGGGCTACGATCTAATAAAAAAAAGAAAAAAGGACGTATTAACCGAGCAATTTTGTCTGATTGAAGTCCGTAATCCCCCCTTTTTTCCCTTAAGTGGTTTATACATGTCATGTATAAATATCCGTTATTTATAATGAGAATTTGGTGATTTGATAATTTAGTGCTTGACATAATGTAGTAAATATACACCTTTACGTTGACCTCTATATGTCGTTGTGCTACACCTGCTTTTATTCAAATTTGACTACTCTCATTACGTCATTTTTTTTTTTATACACAACTTTTATGGACTACTAGTATCCTTTCAAAATAACGATCTCAAACGTTGCTGATTAACATTTGGCGTGTGTACGGATATGTGTATCATACGTTTATGTAACGGAAACCGCGGTATAGAATAGAGAGACTACTTAAGCGCATGTCTAGTCTCTAAAAACTCCACCTTCGCTTGAAAAAACAGATTTTTTATAAACTCACAGTCATACTCTGTTAGTCTTACCATTAACGGAAACACTTTTGGTTTAATGAGGGACAAACAAAAAGTGTCGCTTTCAATCATGGCCTGTTTAGATATCTTAATATTTAGCCTTATATTTTTCGTTTTGTTCTTGAACTCTATGTTCCCATTGCTAAGCATTATACTGCTCCTTTTAATAAAGCGTTTCAACAAGATCAAAGTTTCAAAGCTTTAAATGATGTTTGGATATTTGTGTTCCAACATTACTTAAGCTTGGGGAATTATTTAGTGGGCACAAGAAATCATTTGTGTATATATATGAGATTAATTAGGACAAAACATAATTATAACATTTGATATTTTCCAACATACATATTACGTCATTTTATTCAGAATCGTATCAGTATTGATTCTGTAGCTTGTTTGGATGTAATGCGAGAGTTTGTGGATTCAATCAAAGCCATGTCAATTCAAAGAGTTTAAAACGTGTATCTACTGCGTCTCTAAGTATATGCATTAAGGAGTAAGCATAAAGACGGATCGACTCGAACTTGATAACATGTGAACGTGTGGGGTTACAAATCTTATTGTACCATCTACTAATTCATAGGTCATAATAAACTTACTTTGATGTTAATGGATATTTTTTGAATGGTTAAACATACTTCTGCGGGAACCACAGTTATATGAATTGAACCAGATTTCTCTTAGTCGTATGACCTCCCACAAGTAACATCAGAATCAGTGGTTGTCGGGATGTACTAGATATGCAACTGGTGTGCCACTCTCGGTATCTAATAAAAGCATATCCAGCATCCTTTGTAATGAGTATGTACATTGGAGGCCGATGTTGAGGCTAGAAATTGTCCCCTCCTTTTCACCTCTCCGTGATTTCCATGTGGCAGATGAATTGTGTTCCCCGTTTGTGTCCTATCCCACCTCTTTTTAATCTCATATCTATTTTATATCATTTATCATATACCTCATGTTCATTGATTCGACATCAGCATTTTTCGTGCTGCACGGTCGTTAAACACCAACAATCACCATTGCATGTATTTAGGTTGCACTTCTGTAAATATAGACAATGCAATTTCCCATAGAAACTCCTTTTACGGCTAAAACTGTGTCACTTTTAATTTTAAGTTTTGTAAAAAATTATATCCTAGAATGATATTTTTTTCAAAGGTCAAAACATAGGAATGTGTGGCATATTTTCAACATTTCTATGCCCCGAACTTCTAACAGTTTAAACTTATACTAAAACTCTGTACTACCCTTCTCTTCACTTTGGGTCTTCCTCATAATTCAATTTCGCCGCTATCCATGTGTATTTATACTGGTAACATTTCCAAGTTATCTCTCTATGAGATGAAACATAGAGATCATATCTGGGAACCAGTAGGTAAACAAAACAAAATATCTATGAATATTATTTATCTCCCCAAAACAGGCGTGGTTTGTGAAACAGCTGTATTTACAAAATGCAACTTTTAATGCACAATAAAAATTAAGAGATAACGTTTATTTATAACAGTTGGTGAGCTACCAACAACGATAGATAAAGATGATTAAAACATATCAAATGAAAAAAACTCTGTGAGTATGATGGCCAAAATTCTAAATTCAAAGGGGCATAACTCCTAGAAAAAAACATTGAATCATAATTTCCAGTTGATATACACATCCACATAGTATGTCCTTATCATCTAATTCCATTTAATTCTGTTGAGTGATTTCAGAGGAGTTGCGAAACTGTTGCAGTAGAATATTTTAGGCCAAAGTTTAAAGGGGCATAACTCCTAGAAAAAGGGCAAGCTCAACCGGTTACATCAGCAATATTGACCATTACTTTAAAAAAAATCTAGAGAATTCCGATTTAGATTTATTTAAACAAATGCCATATAACACAGGACATCTTACTTGCATTTCCAACCTGGGCATAGGTCTCTTGGATTTACCAGATAGTTAGCTAAACGTGCTTGTATTCACTGATTTGCGTTGGGTTATCCCCTTTTTAATGCCATTATAGGTCAACACTAATTAATGATGGAAATATCAATATATAAATAGTAAGCATGTTTCTTTCCATTAATGAGAAAAGCATGTATAATTATTCCCCTCAACTAAATTGTGTTTACACCTTACTTCTTTCGATGAATGGTTCCCTCTGCACTAAAGTTTTCTTATCTGCAAGTGATAAAGAATATTAGTCAACCTTTTTCCTTTTCCCTTTTTGTTTCATCACTATTTTCATAAAAAGTTCATTCAGAGGTATATGAATTTTCACCAGGTATCAAATGAAGTGAATTTTTCAGATTAAATGTTTGATAGTAAAGCAACATCGATCAATGTTATCTCTCTTTGTACGAAATATCGACACCTATTAACATTGGAGGTTTTTACAGTAAAATATGTGTATGGTCCCAAAGAGGAAAATGTTGGTGAGACATCAACTCAATGACAAATGAAATCATAAGACATCTATGTGTATTGACACAAACATTAAAATATGAAGAATGTATTAATAAACTTAAAATGTTTTCTGCACTTTTCATCCTTATATACATAACAAAAACATATCAAAGATACCGGGCAATAATTTGTTATGCAAGACGCGCTTTTTGTCTATGTAAGACTCATCAGTGGCGCTCGAATGAAAAAATGAAGGCCAAAATCAAATACAAAATTCAACAGAATTGCAGGCCAAACATTCAAAAATGTTGTGCCAATGTATATATATGTATAATGTATATCATGCTAGGTTTCACTGTGTTTTATTGTATACATGAGCGGTATTCAGGCATATAAATGTACTAATGTAGTGTCCAAACGAGAAATCAAGCATATCAGACGGGTATAATATTTTAGTGAATAAAGACAGAAAGTGTCTTTACATTTATTCTTCTTTTTTGTGGATGTGCAATTGAAATTGTTTTGTTAGAGAAGGAATGCACCTGGGTTTGAGCAATTATAGTATAGCCGATAATAAGGTTGTCACAGAAATGCTGGTATAGGTGTATTCTATCAAATCATTATTGTGGATCGATGAATGTGATGGATGTTTAAATCCACATGCAGAGTGTATTTACCATAAACAAAACGACGGGTGCTACATGTGAGGCAGATCTGCTTACCTTTCCGGAGAACCGAGGATCACTTTCGTTTTTTGTTGTGGGGTTGGTGTTGCTCAGTTTTAGTTTTATATGTAGTGAGGGTGGTAAAGGGGGGGGGGGGGGGGGGGGTGCTCGCACGGAAAAAACGTGAAATAAGACATAATTTCACGTTGAACGTGAAATAATTTCTGTCATGAACGTTGCACGAAAAATAAAGACTGTTGTGAACCTTTTGTGACTGAGTCACTGTCATCTTGTATATATAAACTCTCTGTTTTACTTGTTATTCCCGATTTAGTATACACATTTATGATGTAAATGGTTTACGGCTTTTAAAAAAGTATTTCTTGACGATCCCTGCCAAGCATTTGAATTTTATTTGAAAAATACCGAGCACGCAAAATAAGCATTTGAAAATCACGATGCACGTAAAATTAAATAAGCAGAACACGTTGAACGAGGCACCTGTCTTGCACGACTGAACGTTAAATAAAAAAGTAAAAACACGTTGAACGTGAAATAAAAAACGGCGATAACGTTGCACGAAAATAACCCATTACCACCCTCTGTAGTGCTTTGTAGAATTTTTCTTTTTGTCGTTTTCGTTTTTATGCCATGGTAGTTTTTGTATCCATTGGTACACACATTTATCTTCCGCATTGACATACCTATAATAGTTATCTGCATTATATATATACCTACATTTCTATTGATGTTCCTATATACAAATTCATATAAAATGATAAATCTATAAAGTGTTTTCG